TTGATCTGCTGTATTAGCCTGTATTGAAATACGACTGTTTTTAATGTCGAAACACTACTCACAGTTGAATTACTTTTTCGATTTCGAGGAATTTAAATTATGGAATATGAAATTAAGCGATTGTTATCTTGGCCAAACAATAAACATTATTCAATGATGTATTCAGCACTGTTTTATCATTATTGACAATGTGAAACCCGTAAACGAAACCAGAGTGCCTTCTTTAAATGCCGCAGCACAACTTTGTGTGGGTGGCACATCTTGGTTGTTATCATATAAATTACAGTTACTTTCCTCGAAAGAAATTTCTTTGAGAGCATGTGTTGCTCTATTTTTAGTCTTTTGGGCCTGCTAAAAATAATTATATATATATATATATATATATATATAAACATAAAACATTAGGCAGCATATGATTTACATACAAAGAATTAATCAGAAGTATTAATGCGATTATTGGCGACATCCGTCGCTAGAAAACATAATATTAACTAGCATTTTAACATCAAATAAACTGAAAAACTACAGACAAGTTTTTCTTCAAGGATCAAAACTCGCACTATGGATGAACAGGATTTTAATGCATATATTATGTTTTCTAGCGACGGATGTCGCCAATAATCGCATTAATTTGTTTGATTAATTCTATGTGTGATTATTCTTTATATATATATATATATATATATATATATATATATATATATATATATATATACTTACTCTGTCCTGGACATTAAGTTCTACCTGGATTCTATCCTCTTGAATTTTTTTTTTTACACACACATATATATATATATATATATATATATATATATATGTGTGTATGTGTGTGTGTTTGTTTATGTACGTTTGTATATATATATTTGTGTGTTTTAGATATATGTACATATATGTATGTGTATATTGACCATTAATATTATCAATCTATATATATATACATACACACACACATATATATATATATAAAACACACACACACACACACACACATATATATATATATATATATATATATATATATATATATATGAAACCGTGCGTAAAGGTTTTTAAATATTATTAACAAACGAGTGGTCAACCCCATTATTTTACTCGGATATGAAATTTAGTAAAGATATTCTCATTGGTAAGTAATCATATTATATAAAAACTGATATCACTTTTATTTGTCTAATTTCTTGTTGATTTTGTAACCGGTTCACTGGTTTTACATTGTCAACAAACGATAAAACAAGGATACATTCAAGTGAAAACAACTCTCATTAGGACCACGTGTCTATATGTCGTGCCCCCTTTTAGTAGAGGGAAATAGTGTTGGATAAAAAATTCGTTCACACACACACATATGGGTAACTCCACAAAAAGCGATAGCTAAAATTTAAAATGCATTTTAAAAATGAAAAATCTATCTTGAAGCTTTTATTTAAGTTTTAATTTCAAGCGAATAGATTAAATTTAATATTTCCAATGAGCAAAAAAATACTCTGCTGTATTTCGAACCGAATTTTAATTGATTCGATTGATTTTTTTGATTATCAGTGAAATCGCTAAAATCGTAAATATTGACAAGTCTGTCAAGACAAAATAATTCTCTTTATTAAAAAATCTTTCAAAAATAAAATATACTTTTAGAAAAGTTTATTTGAGGAAGATTAACTGATTTAATTCTTAATTAATTTGAATTAAAACAAATGCTACTTACTTTTAGTTTAAAATATCTTAGAAAAACATTTTTTTTAACACGGAGGTGGATGTTTTTACGAGGTTTTGAACATTTATCGATAACCAGATAAAGAGTAAGACGGAAATAATATGTAAAATTACACGAGGAAAACACCGTAACCGCCTTTTTAGATCATTAAACAATTAGTAATCTTAAATTATCAAAATATTTTAAGCATTTTAATATTTTATTAAATTTTAGAGAATCGGCTTTATAATCTTATTTACGATGACGCTTGTTGACAAAATTTTAGAAAATTTCCAATATTTTTTAAATTTACTAGAGTTACCGTTTTAGTTTTCTGATAATGTTGTGTATGGGCGTTGGTATTTCAAAAAGAAAAAACGGCACGTTTATAGACAAAAAATTACCAATTCCTTTTAAAATAATAGAGGTCGCTGATGTAGCAAGCTTTCCTATTTATGATGAGTAAATATAGTTTTTTATTTAATAACATTATCATATAACCAATACAAATTAATACAGAATCTTTAAAAAATTTAAAGTTTATAAAATATTCTAATTAGAATTTTTAAAAAATGAAAACAATTCTTGCAAAAAATTAATCATCGAAAGTTTTTTCTTACGACAATGTCTATAATATATTTTATTCATAAAGCAATTAAAAGAATTTCTAATTAAATAATGTTTTACTTTTATTTCATTTTACGATTCAGAGCATACTTTCTGTAACTTTGCCCTGTTTGACAAAAAAAAAAAAAATAAAAAAAAAAATGATGATTTAAATTCTCCGAGGACTCGTCCTTATAACTAATATAAACATTAAGCGCTACAAAAAAGAATTTCTTGAGATTTCATAAAATTACGTAAGCGTGGTGTAACAAATGTAAAAATAATATTTTTACCAAGACTTTCTAAAAACGAAACATTAAATACATTTCTAAATAAGTCCTGAAAGTTTTCTAATTTTTGCAAGAATTTCCAAATCAATGTGTTTTTCAACATAAAAAGATGCTCAAATTTCCCAATACAAATTTATGGCTACAAGTTGATGCCAGAAAGATAAAATTTTTGACCAAAGTTTGGAGAAATTAAAAAATTTTTTTAAAATAATTTGACATAAAAAAAATCCTTTGGTCTTTCCTCTTAATAACAACACAATCATTTTGACGATAAAAAATTGTTTCTTTATTAAGTTTTTGGTATTTTTTTATAATGCATGCTCACTTTTTAGCAAATCTTTGGAGGTATATATATATATATATATATATATATATATATATATATATATATATATATATATATATATAATCGAGCATAAGCTACTAATCTTTGCGTGTTCTCTCTAATACACTCCCTTCCCGATACTGAGCACTTTCACATTATAATTTTAAACTATATATGTATGTATGCACATATATATATATATATATATATATATATATATATATATATATATAATTTTGCATCCCAAGTACTAATTTTCCTCTTTTTTTCTGGTTTGATTCTGTTAAGGGCGGGGGGTGTTTCTTCTTGATAGATTTGAGCCTCAATGTCTCTTCCGTCAACTGCTTTTACTGAGTCTTAGAATCACTGAAGTAGGGTTCGTTTTATCCGAAGGCCAAAGGCTAGTTCTCCGAACAACAGTGTCTTTAGAAGACTATCGACTTCTATCCTTTCCAAATGACGAGCTAATCACAGCTGAGTTCTTTGTAGCACAATTTCAAAATCTGTTTTCTTACTTAAAGTCAGAAACTAACTGTCAATGATGAAATCATTCCAGTGCATTTTAGAATGGTGCAGAAGCATATATGACCCCAGTATATGAGCTTGATCAAGGAACCTTATAAAAGGGCACACAGAACGATTGTTTTGGAGACTTAGGTTTTAGGTTTTTTTTTTTTGAACTTTCTCTTACTCTACGTTTCCATAGTCTATGAAAGGTTTTATTAGACTAGGCTTGTTTATTGTTTATGCTTTAATCTAATTAATGTTGTCTCATTAGGTGAACTCCCTAACCATTTTCAAGCTGAACATTACTTACAAACTTCATAGTACAGGCTTGAGGGTTCTCACCACATACATTACCCACAAAATCCAGCAGCGACAAGGTCGAGTCGAAGCCAACACCCCAGTCATATCATAAAAGCAGTCAGTGGTCAGTTGGTGAAAAAGCTGAAAGACAACTGTACATTTTCTCGGCATCCTGAGCGACAACTAAATCGCACTTTTTAGGGGCAGATCTATTTGCTTCACACGAAGATGAGCCTGGAAAAATTAGCGTAAAGAAAGCTAGTCTCCTACGCACTCCAGGTGATTAGCAGCGACCAACGGGCATTTTTCACAATCGGTCGCAGAACGTAATCGTCAATTCAGATTAAGCGGAAACGACCTTTCAAACTTGCTTGCTGGAACGTGAGAACGATGCGTGACACAAACGTCGAAGCCAGAGTAGAACGCCATTCTGGAATAATTGCGCTAAAACTTCTCAGGTTGGATATCGACATCGCTGCAACTAGTGGGCTCCCTCCGCTTTTTTTTTTTCTTTTTTTTTTTTTTTTTTTTTGAAAATACTATTGTTCACGCAATACAAGGCCCGAGACCCACTCAAAGTAGAGGGGTACTTAAAAAGACTGTTGTAAAGAGAGAAAGTAATAAGTATATATCTATAGGGATATGTAGGATAAATAACCGTTGACTCTAGACTTGAAGTTAAGATCATAGTGATCGGGGAAGCATTCTCTCGGGAGTCTGTTACACAGAGCAAAATTTCTGGGAAAGAAGCTTACTCTTTATCAATGGAATACGAAGAAAATGGACATGATTCGACCCTGTGTACGCAGCATGACGGGTCCTAGCTGAGAAAGTCAAAATTAGTGGAACTAAGGAATGGGGTACGTCTTAATATTTGCCATGAAAATAGCGGTACAAAAGACCTGAAAAGCACAAATCATGATGAACCCTATACTGATGCGGTAAAACGCAAAATGAATGATCTCTTTAGAGTAGGCTCAATGATAATACACAGGGATGTTAAAGGATTGTCTGCCCGACTAAGGAATAACTGACCAAATGAGTACACACACCAGAATTATTTTATGGAGGGTCAGCTGAGTCGAGAACGTTTTAGCACCACCTCTTATTTCTACATCTCTGTCAAATTACTCTACGTACGTTTCCAGTGTCGTGACAAACATTTAATCTTTTATTTGCCATGTACTGGGCGATCATGGCTCTCCCCAATTTCCTATTCGCTGTAGGTCTAAGCAATGTTTTTCTTTTTATTATCCTACCATTCCTTTTTAAGGCTTATCACGTTGAAACACCGGCTCTCATACGATAATCGAAGTTAAACAACGTCGAGTTTGGTCAGTACCTAGATGGGTGACTGCTTGCGAATACCAGATACTGTAAGCTTGGATGTACAAGTGGCATAATGGATAACAGCTGACAATTGGAAACCGGAGAACCGAGTTCTAATTCCAGTCGGGGTCATTATATTCACTTACATTTCATATTACTTATGAATCCACCTATTCTCCCACCAGCTATGGATTAAATAGTAGGACATTTATCGGTATTACCAAAGTTATTTTCTGGCTTTAAATAGCCTGTAATATGTTGATAAGCCGTAAATAATCAATCAATCAATCGAAAACCAGTACTTGTTCTGCCATCCATTTACACAAACTTGTTAGATTATTTGATATTTCATTTTGCTCTGCTTACATTCAGTGATATGGCTCTCAACTTTTCCAAGCCCTCTTTCCTTATTATGGGTTCCAGAAATTTAAACTGTTTCTAAGTACAAATGTCTATTTTGTTCCCGTTTTCTTTAAAACATCCTCGTTATTCACGTGTTCAGCATTCGTCTATAGAAGCAAGTCTCTCTTGCCTCAAGTCTCTTCTTCATCTGTGAGGAAATTGTCTAGAATTCCCTTCCATCTAGGAAGATTGATATTACATAGCAATTCAATACTTTTCTTTATTTTTAATGAAATGTTCCTGTATCTTAGTAATTAATTTTTTAGCCTTTGGCGCCTTCGTACTTCTCTGCTACATTTTCTGTCGTCTGTTTTAACACTTCCCAGAAAATAGCTTACTTGATTCTGACATCTCCAATCTGTAACTCTCTGGGACTGTCGTTCTTGCTAACGACTATATATTTTGTCTTCTTGCAATTAATGGTTAGTTCTTTCTTCTCGCTTTCCTAGTCTCCTTTGGTTCGGAGTTCCTACAATTTTCTCTCTCTGAGGAAATACAGAAGCAGTTTTTCTGGGGGAAGCCATTTCACATACCGTAAATTTCGGCGCACAAGTCGAGTTTTCAAGTCTAAAAAAATATTTTGAGGGTCACAGTTTGGGGTCTCTGGTAGCCCATCGTATCTTTGGTGGTCGACCTATACGATAAATATAAAACTAAATGAGAATTTTGAGCTAAAAATCTTCAGGTTGACTTGTACGCTGCAATTCAGTTCACGGTAATTTTTGGTTAGCACTCACTATGTGTATCACATTATAGTTTTGTTTGTTTCTACGCCAGTTATCGCGTGCATTACGTGTTGTCATTACATTAGATAGATAATGGACCTTTACGTTTTGATTGCCAGGAACGATGGAAGAAAAGTTATATCAAAATAAGAAAGAAAGAAAGAAAGGGTGGATAAAAGAGGAAAAAACTTCTCAGTTTTTAATCATTTCATTTGTACCCTCTTACTTCTTTAAATAAAGACCTGCATTTATACTTATAATTGTTATTGCATTATTTTGTTGAAATTATCAAAGCACAAATATTTAACGATGGGTATAGAGGGATTTTCAATTAGTATTCAATTATAAACATAAGAATTATAACTTATAAAATTCAATTATGAAATCTTTGAAATGTTTACGGGTATTGCACATTATAATAAATTTCCGGATGAAACCCTAAACATGAAGACAACGATGCCTTTTGATGTAACTTTAGGGGGATTTCTAAAAATGTGTGTATAAGCATTTTCCGGCTAATTTCTATGATCATTTCCTTCTAATCACGTCTTCATCTTATATAATTAAAGATGTAGCCGTTTACTTGAATTTCTTCATAATTATTACGGTGTCATTAATATTAATGTCTCAAAGCCTACCAATGTCTCCACAAAAGGAGATCTGCGAACGCCACCTTTTATTTCTTCAAATGTTCACGTGCGAGCTTCGTAATAAATCCCTCCCCGAGGAGATTTCTAATGAGTCTGTGTCATCAAAGTCACAAGTAGGATTCATTCACTTGTATACGTCTTCCCAGAGTGATTTAGCTGAAATGAGTTACGTTTCGACCGACTTGATAATTAAATTTTTGATGCGAGATCTCTATAGTTACAATGCTAATCTAATCTTAACGTACGAAAATTCAGCTAATTATGCATACATACGCAAATATGCCGAACATACACGCACGTGCTATGCTATTGCCTGATATTTTGAAAAATGTCTTATCATTGACATGTCACGATAATTGAGAGAGACGAGCGACAGTGAATAATCATTAGTCTAAACCATAAGTACTTTTACCTTCCTAGGTAATATCAACAAAAATCTGTTACACATATTGTCACTCTTAATAGATATCCAGTTTACACACAATAAAAAATATATATATATATATATATATATATATATATATATATATATATATATATACCGTCCGGGGAATGACGATAAACTATATATGGCAGCAAGTCGTCTGATCGGGAGGTTTTGAGGAGTGTGGAACCACCGCTTAATTGCTGTGGTTCCCTGGTCAACCCTCACCGAAGGTTCCATATTTGCTAGTAAATACTTTTTACAATTTATGCATCCCGGCATTATTTCCGCGTTTCTATTTAATCTCTCTCTCTCTCACACACACACGGGATAACGATATATAATTTTTTTTATATATCAAAAACAATTTTAGGAGAAAGAAGTATGACAAATTAGGAAACGTTTTCGTGTGACACGTTTCTTTCTTTTGGACTTCATCAGACTAACTTTATTTCAAAAAATGTAAACATAAATTTAGTTCGATGAAAACGTGTTACACGAAAACTTTTTCCATTCTGTTATACTTCTTTCTCTTAATATATAATTAATATATAATTATTATATAGAATACTATATAATTACTTTTTAAAAATATGATTCCATCGCGACACATAAATTACTGTTTCGAAAATTTACTCAAGTCCTAAAGTTTAATTTCAATATTAAACTTAAAATTTAGAGTACAGTTTCATTCTCAAGCGATGTTTAGAATAACTCACTGAAGAAATACTTTACTCATTTATAGGTTGGAAATGGAGGTGTAATCGGGGTTTTTCTTTTGTTATCAAGGGGTCCCTACTGTGATGAAAGTATGAATATTTATTATATGTCAAATTTTTGGAGTCGTGTAAGGCTTGGTTGGAGGATTTTTGTCTGGCTACAATAGAATTAAAAATACAACCGAATCATTAAGTACTCCTTTAAGAAACCATCAACGGAAAAAATCAGTAAGTTTTAACAAATAGTAATAAAACAACAGGACCTAGGAAAAAATCCATTGTTTGTGTGTGTGTGTGTGTGTGTGTGTGTGTGTGTATTAAGTTCCTGGGGATAAGTACCAAGAGGCCCAATAGATAATACTGAATACTATAAATAAAGACGATTTTTTAAATAAGCAACTGTTTTCATATTTGTTTATTCTGTCGCCCGAGACGCTTGCTATAAATAAATACTTGTCAACTGTTATTTCCGGTATTTTAAACTGGAAATTTCCTACTGCTGCTTTGGAATGAGGCTAAACGTCCGTTTTCCAACACCATTTTGAATTCTTCTAGATTCTACACGAAGTGTAACATTGATTAAACCCACGTTAATTTTTTCGCGATTTTTTAAACAAAAATGGCCACATTAATATCCAACAAAGCCTAACAAAGCCTTTATTCAGGAGTTTTTTCTTTGATTAGGACTCCGATGATGATTTTGAAGGCTGAGTAATTTTATGAAAGCTACTGGCAACAAGATAGCCATTCTGAAGGTGAATAATAACTTTATTCGTCAACGAGACAAATAAATATGAGTCAGGTGAAAGAAATAGCAAACAAATGCCAGTGTCTTCTCGTATATAAACACGAGGAGACACGTCATTTTTTTTTTTTTGATATAAAAGCCTTTGTAGCAATTTTGCTTCTTATTGCACCCCCAAATCTCTGCATGAAGTAATAAAAGTTAAAGTACGTTGAATTATCTATGTATTTTTTATTGTATTTGTTTTTAATTTCGCATTTTTTATTTCGCGTTTCAATTAATTTTGTTTTCAACGTCAAAACATGCAAGCAAAGCGTAATGCATTACATAATGCATTACATTAAAATATTACTTATTCATTCTTTTATTAGTGTACAAAAATTAAAATATATACGCACAATACAAAGAAAGTCATAACAATTTTAAAACAGTAGGTGTTCATGTTTTTGCCTCCTCAAAAAAAAAAAAAAATGCAGTGGCAGGGGAGATAACTCTAGAAAGAAATTAGTGTGGTAAAGGTTAAACCTGACGTAATATCGCGGCCGACATCATTGTAACTTAAGCAAGTAAAAAAAGAAAACAAACAAAGAAAACGGAACAAAAGTTTGGTCTCCCGTGAGAAACGATCTCACTAAACAAAGGAATGGTTGAACGAAATTAACTTACTGACCATCAGGCGTCATTTTCGTATTTGGTCATGATATATGTCTTTTTTTTTCTTTTTCTTTTTCTTTTTCTTGAGCGTAGTTGCATGGAGATAGATTATGATCGAAAAGATAGTTTATTTTAGGGAAGGTACTCCGCAACCTGCACCCAGTGATGCGACTGAATAAACGTTTTTAATTCTTAAAGACGTTTTTTCTTGCTTTTTTCCCCCTTTAATCATTTTCGAAGTTTATGACCCTTATCGAACGGGTCCTTCGAATTCAGAAAGTTGTTTTGCTTTTTAATTTTTTTTTTCTTCGCCTATTGCTTCAGATTTCCCTATAAAATGTGACTTCTCGCAGATACGAACGCAGGTTAAAAGAGAAATTTCAAAAAAAAAAAAAAAAAAAAAAATATGAATCAAAGTAAAATTTCTGAGTTATTTGCTTGAAAGCAATTAAAAATTGACATTTAATGATTTAGAAAATGAAATTTTAACCCGTAAATACGATTTTTATTCTTTTACACTAGAAATGTTATTTTTTTTAGCAAAACCGGTGAACACGATAAGCATATGCTTTGAGCTTAATTTTAGAAATGTCCACAGCATACATTTGCGAACAAATCAGAATACATTTGGGTGCATAAAGTTAAGGCTGATATATTCTCCGTTCTTCCTGTATTGTCCCAAATTCCCACATGAAATATATATTTGTTATTCTATATACATTTTGGAATTGGT